GACATATTCTTAAAAAGGAGGATCGTCTTTTAAGATTGTCTAATGTGGGCTGGTTTAATGTAATTCTATAAAGAACAATGGGATGGCTTTAATGCACAGTGCTGTGAAAGAGTGATAGCCAGGTATGGCAACAACTACAGAGCAGTTGTGGATACATTTGAAGCAGGTAGCCATGTTTCCACATACTGTAAGCCTAACACAGTCTGGAAGCCTCATTCCCATAAGTAATGATGATATCATTGAAAAACAGTGTTTTGTATTTACTCAGGTTTATTCTTATACGCCCTAGCTGATTGAAACTCTTTCCTCTCCTGGCCTCCTCACGGCGAATAAGTCACTCCACACTTTTCACTGTTCCTGAATCCTCATTCTCTCTGCTTGCCTGGCTGACAAGCTGTCTGGGCTAATTCGTTTGCCTGACTTCTTATGCTTTATCCTGCTCTTTGATGTCACAACTGGGATTTATTTCTGCACTTGTAATGGAGACACTTTGCATTAAAAAAATGCTATTTCTGCTGAGCTCTACTCCTAGGAGAAAATGCTTCAAAAATGTACTGTTGTTTTGCTGCATGCTCTATTCTCACTTCTTTGATCTTTAGAAGCTGGCAGGTAAAATTAAAAATACATCAGGGCATAGCAAACAAGGCTGTGGATCAGAATCCTATGAAGGTGGGTAAAGGTTGGATAGGTAATTGACATTTGCTGCTTTTAAATGTACGTAAGTATGTAAGGCTTAGAAAGCATGTACATTGAACCGGACGAAAGGGTCCGTTCCTTTGGAATGGGGTCGCTTGGTTTGTTTAATAGCCTGTAATACCCAATACCTGTCTATGTCTCCGAAAATGGGGTAATTAAAGGGAATTGTTGGCCTGGCTGAACAGGTGAGGTGTTCTATTCCCCAGTAAGGGGGTTGGGGTTGCTGTGACAGCAGGAAAAAATCAACTCAATTGCTGAACTTGAGGTTTATGAAAGCTGAAATCTGAGTCCACCCCCTCTGTTTAAGGTTGGTTTTTCTTTCTTAACATAGATGGCTTCCTTCACGCCCCTCTCAAACCACCCATCTACTTTGTCCAAAATGTGTACATTCTGAACCTCAAAAGAATGTCCTTTGTCCAGTTTAGCAATAGAATTGGTTCCTTCACGCTATCATCGCAACCCCTACCCTCTTACAGTGCAACAGAACACCTCATCAACATTAGAATCACACTTTTCTCCTGACGTGTCCGGATTGCATTTACATTCGTCAATACTAACTGATGTGATAAAGTAAGTAAAACTTTCCCCATTGTAACACATTGATTAAAACCTTGGTCAATCACTGATCTGTGGTCTGTGTTAGCAGCCTGCACCACCAGCTCTGAGATGGTTGAGTGGGTGTGCAGGCTTGTGTGTGTATGAAGAAAGAAAATAATCTTTTATTTTGATAACTGACTAACTTTTGATAACATCAATCCACCCAATCCACACACACATGACATACTCATGCACTTTATAGACAGACTTCCATGTTCACATGGGACACAAGCCATACACATAGACAGGGTGTCATCAAGACAACACAAATGCAAAACTAAATAGTTTCACACATGGCCCGTGCTTGTGCTCTAGTGTGTGCACACAGATGAACTCCATGTTAATGTTAGAATAAGGTATAAAATACCCCAGAAAGGGGGTGGGATTTGGGAAGATTGTACCAGTGTGTGAAGATTGTCTTTAACAACATTGTGTTGAAGATAAATGATAAAGATGTCTTCAATTAACTTATAAATAAATGCTTAGTGCTTTGCAGAGGTGGAAGATATAACATTAAGCTCCTGATTAGAAAACATCTCAGTTGTATGTTTAGACTGTCAACAGCATAATTATTTAAAAAAACATAGGCTTAACTTATACTGTAATTTAATGGGATTTAAACAGGCCATATATGTCTTAATTTAATTGACATGACCTGAATTTTCATTAGATTAGTTGGACTGACACTGGCCGAAAAAAAGTATAATTTAAAATTCTTCATGTTATTTATGCGTTGAACCTTTCACTAAAGATAACTTTAATGGGACATATGTTGTTGTTTGTATTAGTAATGCACCCTGATGATGAGTCTAAATTGCCTGCTTTAACAGTTTGCTAGATTTACTAACATTGATGATCAGAATATATCTATTAAGATTAACATAGCAATAGTAGTATTTTTAAACTAGTCACAACTGTCTCCTCTGAGTCAACAAAGATGTCTCATGTTTTCCTCCATTATTTCCTTTTTAACAGACAAGAACAGTGATGAAAAAACACATCTGATTTCATCTCTTGAAAATCGTGTTCTCTGTCTAGTCTTTCAACATATCAGAGGTTAGACATGGTGGTTTGATAAAATATGCAAACATTTTCAGAGCAGGGTGTTTTTTTTATACTGCTGATATTGTTGGGAATGTTGTTGGGAATGGTTAATAGGCAAATTTGAGCTTTGAGCAAAGGAACAATTCCCAGTTTGCCTTAGCATGTACTGTGTGATTGATTTGTAGCAAACAGAACAGCTTTTGCATTGTGCTTCTAAATGACAGAAATTGGTGAGGACTGTTTTACACCAGTGCCAGAGCAAAGAAAATTCCAGATCTGGCCGTATATGCTGTTTAAAGTCAGATTAACAAGACAACGAATTCATCCACGCATTTTAAACTGCCTGAATTAACGCAAAGTATAGATCAGACCCAGTAAATCCAATCCCAAAGACAACCTGACATGAATAAATTCTTTATCTATGGCATTGCTGTCTGCATAAATGCTGACTGTGAGATAACCTCTGTGCTGGCAAGATTGGACCTTAGTGAAATGTTTGACAATGTGGATCCCTTTTTATTAGAGCAATTGGTAAACTGGGTTGGTATACACACACACACATATATATATATATATATATATATATATATATATATATATATATATATATATATATATATATATATATATATATATATATATATATATATATATATATATATATATATACTCACCGGCCACTTTATTAGGTACAACTGCTTGTTAACACTTAATTTCTAAGCAGCCAATCACATGGCGGCAACTCAGTGCATTTAGGCATGTAGACATGGTCAAGACAATCTCCTGCAGTTCAAACAGAGCATCAGTATGGGGAAGAAAGGTGATTTGAGTGACTTTGAACGTGGCATGATTGTTGGTGCCAGAAGGGCTGGTCTGAGTATTTCAGAAACTGCTGATCTACTGGGATTTTCACGCACAACCATCTCTAGGGTTTACAGAGAATGGTCCGAAAAAGAAAAAACATCCAGTGAGTGGCAGTTCTGTGGGCGGAAATGCCTTGTTGATGCCAGAGGCCAGAGGAGAATGGCCAGACTGGTTCGAGCTGATAGAAGGGCAACAGTGACTCAAATAACCACCCGTTACAACCAAGGTGGGCAGAAGAGCATCTCTGAACGCACAGTACGTCAAACTTTGAGGCAGATGGGCTACAGCAGCAGAAGACCACACCGGGTGCCACTCCTTTCAGCTAAGAACAGGAAACTGAGGCTACAATTTGCACAAGCTCATGGAAATTGGACAATAGAAGATTGGAAAAACGTTGCCTGGTCTGATGAGTCTCGATGAAAGCATGGATCCATCCTGCCTTGTATCAACAGTTTAGGCTGGTGGTGGTGGTGTCATGGTGTGGGGAATATTTTCTTGGCACTCTTTGGGCCCCTTGGTACCAATTGAGCATCGTTGCTACGCCACAGCCTACCTGAGTATTGTTGCTGACCATGTCCATCCCTTTATGACCACAATGTACCCAACTTCTGATGGCTACTTTCAGCAGGATAATGCGCCATGTCATAAAGCTGGAATCATCTCAGACTGGTTTCTTGAACATGACAATAAGTTCACTGTACTCAAATGGCCTCCACAGTCACCAGATCTCAATCCAATAGAGCATCTTTGGGATGTGGTGGAACGGGAGATTCGCATCATGGATGTGCAGCCGACAAATCTGCGGCAACTGTGTGATGCCATCATGTCAATATGGACCAAACTCCCTGAGGAATGCTTCCAGCACCTTGTTGAATCTATGCCACGAAGAATTGAGGCAGTTCTGAAGGCAAAAGGGGGTCCAACCCATTACTAGCATGAGGTACCTAATAAAGTGGCCGGTGAGTGTATGTATAGGTATGTATATATATACATATATATTTATATATATATATATATGTATATACATATATATATATGTATATACATATATATATATGTTTATATACGTATGTATATGTATATATGTATGCATATATATAAAAAAAAGATGATATAAAAGATGCCCAAGCCAGCTCAGCTGGCTCCTTTTGATAGGAGGAGCAACAAATCTACTCCAAGATCATCCCGGCTAACTGAGCTCCTCACCTGATCTCGAGACCAAGACCACTATGGATAGCATTAAATCAAGGACCGTGACGTTTGAGCTTTGAGCAAAGGAGCCACCCTAGAGCCAAGCCTGGGGTTTTGGGCTTGTATGCGATTGCCTGCAGGCTTTTTGAAAAGAGTAAATTTGCTACAGAGGAGATGAAAATAATTTTGTCAAATAGGTTCTGATAGAGCGCTTCAGCGCCCTAAATGCTAGAATTAGGATCACACAACCAGCCGGACTCAGGCAGAACGGATGATGTGGGCCCACCCTCCTGTAGACCCACCCCCCACAGAGCGATCCGTAGAGGTTAGGTGCAGGGAGATAAATGGGTGGCGGTCAAAGTGGGGTGCCGCAGCTGCTGGCTGGAGGGACATGGAACGTCACTTTTTCTTTATTTGTTTTAAACAATCATTTTATCTCTCTTCTATTGTAATCATCTCATTTTGTATAGTCATTTTTTTCTCTCTCTTTTATTGTTTGTGTTTCTTTTTATTTCTTATGTACAGCAGTTTGAATTTCTGTATTAATGAAAAGTGCTATATAGATAAACTTGCCCTGCCTAATGTCTGATTTTCGTAACTCTCTACAGAATGGACGTTTGTCCTTTATTGGACACCAACTTGGAGGGGTGTCCTTCTCAACCAACAGCAGGGACCAGCAGGTCAAGTTTGCCCGGGCCATCCAGATCACATACTACCTCCGTAACCATGGTCCCGTGGTCCAGGATGTCATTGCGGAGCGCTGGGAAAATGAGTTCTGCGCTCTTGTTACTAGACTGTCCACAGCTGAGCCGCCGCACCCAACCGACCAGCTACTCATCCAGTCACTCACCTCCTTCAGCCTGTGGCAGGACTTTCACCAGACTGGTGTGCTGTCGAAGGGGGAGGTGCTTGTCAGCCTGGTTCTGGTTCTCCTAGCTGCCACCATCTCCAGCTCTATGAGGGACTGCCTAAGAGGAAAGCCTTTTCTTGGCCTTTTGGGTGTGCTGACCATTTGCATCGCCAACGTGACAGCTGCAGGGATCTTCTTCATATCGGATGGGAAATTCAATTCCACGCTGCTGGGGATTCCGTTCTTCGCTATGGGTGAGTGAAGCTTTTGACTTTGGAAGGATGGGATTGTTGTGGTCATACTGATATTAATTGTAGCTTAATGGCACGGCTGACTGGCAGAATCATGATGTTAACAGATTATGATAGAAGTGATGCCATTTATGTTCTTAGATGTATTTACTATTGACATTTATCATGTGTTAGTCGTGGTGTTGGTATTGATTTATTGCCCAGCCCTAGTCCACAACAATCTACGTTGTTGTGTTGTTGTTTTTTTAGAGCAGTGAGCTTAAGATTTTTTTGATTACACCAAGTTATCAGGACTCATCACCGCTTGAGAACAGCCTAAATAGGGTGCTATCATCTGCAAACTTTACAGATGATAGCGAACTTTACGGGTGGGTGAGTTGACTTGCAGCTGTTGCTGTACAGGGAGAAAATGAGAGGTAGATTCCTGTTTCTTCCTGTCAGACAGGAAGCCTGCGTCCACCTTCAGGTCAAGTTCAGAAAGTGTAGAAGTGAGAGTTTTTCCTGTTTCAAAGAGGGGATCACTGTGTTTGAAGAAAAGCTAAACCCCACCAACAATACGCCTACAGTAGCAGCTATTCAAAATGGCCCTTCCCAGGTTAATGGCAGCCCACTTCCCTGCAACTCCTAGCAATATCCCCTCCAACTTCCTACGACTGCAGTGACCCCCTCTTGCTTAATTATTTTTTACTCTGTTTCCACCTTTTCACTGAATTACAGGGTCTGACCAGGAGATGACGCTTCTCTCTAGATCCTGAATGTCCACCAATCATTGCAAAAAGAATATTTTAGTACAAAGATTGATGTTTAAAAGGGAATTGTCGGGCACCAACCAAGGACCAGCCAAGGGCCGATCAAGGAAAAAGGGGAAATTGTATATGGCTACTACTGTATGGAGATTCCTACCTATTTTAGGTGCTCCAAGAGAAAGTGGAAAAAGAGTAGTCTCCAGAGTTGTTTCCCATTGCCTTGGTATCAAGAACAAATTCCCTCTTTCACTTGAAAATAAAAGTCTTAGGCATAGAATCATGGTGTTAAGCTGGAAGTCCTTAGCTGAAACTACGGTTAATAATAAAAGCTGAAACTGTTATAACAAGCAGCGTTTTTTCTGGGACAAACTTCACTTCAAGCTTTGTGTAATATAAATAATGTAGCTTTTATTATATTACCTGGGCATGAAACAATGTAATTAATCATTATTAATTGATTATTGAAACAATTATCAACTCATTTAGTAATCAATTAACAGTAGTATAGAGACTCTGCAACATGCCTTTAGCTGACAGAGCAACCTACTTGAAGCAGGAATTATACCAATATTGTAAGAAAAAAAAATTGCAGTTAAATTTAAGAAAAAAAAAAAAATCAAATGTAAGTATGCTCTATCCATAGTGGAAAAGTCTTACTTTTATCTGGTTTAAGCAACCTTCTGCTGTCAGATTGAAACAAAAATCGACAAAATAATCGATAAGCAAAATAATCATTAGTTGCAGCCCTAATATCACTCAATCCTCTGCAAGTCTTTATGGATTCCAGTAATCAGTCATAAGGCTAATTTCACCTGCTGTCTGTCTTTCTTTCTCTCTCAAATCATCTTATTATGCTTTGTCAACAGCACTCTTCTTCTTCACCATGCTTACTTGTCTAACTTGCATTTTCCTCCCATGTGTTTCTAAGGTCACAGGATCCCAGGGGCTTTGGTATAGCTCTGCTGCAGGCAGGCTGACATAGCTCAAGTTTAAGTAAGATTCAGGAACAGGAGGCTGGATCAGCTCACTGTGACCTACAGGCACAGGAGGAGGAGGAAGGAGGGTGAGATAGAGGTGTGATAAGGTGATGAGAGGCGCTAAAAGGGAATGTCAAGGAGAGGAGATCCAAAAGAGAAATGTGTGTGACGCTAAGGCCAGGGTCAGGGAGGGAACAGCGCTTTGGTAGAGGGATGGAAAGATGGGAGGATGAAGGGTAAGATGCACACTGGGGAAAGGAGAAGAAGGCTAAGGGAGAAAGAGAGGAGATAATTACAAAGCTGTGAAGAGAAGATATCCCCTTATTTGAATGTATTCTCTTTTTGCTTAAATATGCGTTTGTATGAAGGAACAAGAACATAACCCAGTTCCTATGACTTAACCGTTTAAGTAAAAATCTATCCAAACCAACCTGTCCCTCTATTAAAAAAAGTATTTACAGCTTAAACCCAATAACCTACTTTTTCCAGTTGGGTTTAGCAGGCAGCATTAGCCCAGAACAGCTAAAGAGTTAGCTTGAACTGAAGCTAAACTTGTTTGTTTTCACTGAGGGGTTCTGCAGCTTAAAGGATTGACGGATACAGACATTGACCAGATAAAACATGAGTACAGTAGCAGCCTTTCAAAATGGCCCTTCCTAGTCAAACAGCAGCCCAATGGCGGCCCACTTCCCTCCAACTCCCAGTGAAATCCCCTCCAACATCCAGCCAATGGAGTGAACCCTTCTAGCATATTTCCTTTACTCTGACTCCACCCTTTCACTGAATTACAGGCTCTGACCAGGACCATGACTCATTAGATCTTAATGTCCACAAATCATGACAGAAAGAATATTTTAGTACAAATATTGATGTTTAAAAAGAAATTGAATGGGACCAGCCAAAGACCCACCAAGGAAAGTGGGGAAATTTTGAGTGGTTACTATTGTATAAATAATTCATAATTTTAATTCTCAATATATTGTGTTGAATGCTAGATCATGCTTTATCTAATGATATTTCTTTAATAGAAAAAAAGATTAAAAAACATTAGCATAATACAGTAACTTTCCTATGTATCAACCTGTGTTTACAGAAAGTTACAGAAAGTTTTAACAGACGTGGATAATAGTTAAGTGTTTTAATTAGTGTGCTTGTATCAGAGGTTTAACATTTAGGCTTGTTTTCAGATTTGGATCATAATTATGACTATGGAAAGTTTTTTGTGTGTGACAGTGGTGTTATTATTCAAAAGGTTATAAGAGAGTGGAAGGTCACCATCAAAATAGTGTGCTGCTTGAATCAGAGCGGCTTGTCTTAGAGGAGACTAATACGGTGTAAATTCCTAATAGATAAAAAGTGCGGTAGAAGTTGGAGCACTTTACTCCTGAGGCTGCAGCTTTATTACTTAGAATCCCAGACTGTCATTTTGGATCTCTAAGTAAAACCTTTAGCCCCAGAATTTACCCTTGGCAGCCACTGCTTCCCAGAGGTCAAATACAGAGGACAAACATTTGTTGCTTTGTACAAAGATGATAACTGTAGATATTTGTCAATATGACAGCAACTTAAGATAAGAATCTCTGTAGTTTTTTTTTTTTTTATCATGCAAAATCCCTTTCTCTGTCGTCTTATTTTACCTTAAAATCCTTATGCTATGTGGATTCACTGCAGATTCCTCACACTGAACTATTGTGAAGCAGCAGATGTTGGGAATTAGCCTGTAGCTACAGGTATCTGGTGACTAAATCCAAAAGAGTGTCTTTGCAGGGCTGTGCATCATTTATGAGTCTCTTTTTGCAGTCCCATGATTCATCTGTCTCGCTAGTAAACACCATAGACCCAATTAGCATACTCTAATGTAAATATAATGGCTCCTTTTTCATGGATTACTGCTTAATTATAGGACAGCATGGGGATTATAAGCCTTTGGTTCTGCTGGAGAGCGATAGAAGGACCAGGTTGGTTTGATTGCAGACTTAAGGCCATCTGCATTTTTGGTGTCTTTCATTATCCTTTTAACAGTACTTCATTGAACCCCCATGAGGTTCAAGTCTAGCTATCCAGTCAAGCACAGTACCACTTGGGTAAGGTCATTGAACCAGCTTTTTGTATCTTTGGCAGTATGGGCAGGTACCAAAAAAACACAAATTTCAGACTCTATATTTTTTGTTTGTTTTTTTTTCATTAAATTTGTAACTTTTTTATCAGTCAGGTTGAACAACAATGGAAAGTCAGGCTAAATTTAGGCCCAATTGGATTTATTGGCATTTTAAACATTGAGTCATACAACTCTGCTTTTAGTCTCTAGTAGTAATGGTAGAGTATATTTTTTTGATGTGTTTATGTTATCATTTCACAAAATTTCTTATATTGCAGAATTTAATTCCTAATGTTTATTACTTATTTTATTCACTTCAATTAAATTCAGTTTATTTATATAGCACAATTCACAACAAATGTCATCTCAAGGTATTTCACAGTTCAACCAGATCATCCAGTCAAATTGATTCAAAGTTTTTTATCTAAGGAAAACCAGTTGATTGCATCGACTCATTGCCTCGAAGGCAATCCCTCACACTAAGCATGCTTGTAGCGACAGTGGAGAGGAAAAACTCCCTTTTAACAGGAAGAAACCTCCAGCAGATCTACACTCTGTGTCATCTGCTGAGGCCGACTTTTATGTGGATTTATCCTTAATCGATTCGAAAATCATAATCCAGATAAAATTAAAATCATCTTCTCACTCTTCTCCAATTGGTTGATAGAGATGACTTAGTGTAAAATAAAGGCGTCAATCTGATATTGTATGATATTTGATTGGCTGGAAGACTGATTGATCTCCCACCTTTATGGGAAGCAGCTAACTAATGTAATATCGGATACCATCTTTATGAGTATAATAATGCTTTGCTTTCATATTCTTAACTTAAAATATAAAAGATAAACATATCAAACACAAAAAATGAAATCAGGTGGATGAGTGGAATCTTAAAGGACTGGGAAATTATTATTCCATTTTTAAAAGTTGATGATGGAGACTTCATTTGTCCACGTAGATAAATTGATTAACAAAATTATTGCAAGGCCTCCCAGAAAATACATTAACTTCAATACATAAATGCACAACAATGTAAAGAGCATAGGGGTTTTCTAGTAGTGATAAGGTGCAGAGTCCTGCACCGGGTCAGGTACCCACCGGGTACCCATATAAAAGTACATCTATGGATAGAAATAAAACCATATTATTTCATGGGTGCAGGCGCAGATATAAATGAACAAA